TAAATAAAATTCAAACCAAGGGCTAGGTTGGTAGATGCGAAGAACTTCAGGCGAGGTACGAGACACAGCAGAAGTGAAGATCGCTGCGAAGATCGCGGAGTGGATGCAGGATGAACGGATTGTCCAGAGATGTCCGCACGGTATCTCTGAATGCAGGATGCGAAGATCGCGGAGTGGATCGCAGAGTGAATGCAGGGTCGCGGAGTGGATCGAGGCACGAGACTCGGCAGATGCGTAGATCGCGGAGTGGTGCAGGACGATCGATCGAACGATAGGGACAGATCGATCGCGGAGCGCAAAGAACGAAGATCGAACGAGCGGCAGATGCGACGATCGAACGAGCGGCAGATGCGACGATCGAACGAGCGGGAGCAAATGGCTGATATCTGAAGATGCCGCACCAGAGGAGAAGTCCAGAGATGTCCGCACCAGAGCGAGCGGAGCGGAGATGTCCGGAGATGCCAGTCGTAAACTCAACACCAGAGATCCAATCGAATGTGCGATCGAAGGCGATCGGCTTGAAGCAGTTGTAGAACTCAAACAAAGCGGACGAAGATTCCGCAGAACTCAAAGACAAGAACGACCTCTCCGGTGAGGAAGCCCAGACAAAGATAACAAAAGCTAAAATTTCAAGGATTCAGGCTCTAAAACCATGACAATATTTTGAGCAAATAGGCTGAATGTCTTTTCCTTTGCTTTCATTCCAATAAATAGTAGTTTGTACAATCTATTTTAGGTACATAATATTCAGTATAATCTAATTTAAGTAACTTAATTAATACACATTCATAATCTAAATATTCAGCTAAAAAGGAGAGAATCCGTGCAAATATAATATTTCATTCTTTGCATTATTGCGAAGAAGGAAACTCTTTATTATGATTTCTTTTATTCCTCTTTATTATGATTTTTTTTATTCCTGATTGATAGTCTTCCCCAATGTATGGACACATTTCCGCGTTATCAGAACCTGCCTCCCCTTCAAGCAGCTGAAGTTGTTTATGTTTCAAGCACTCATTTGGTTTGTGGCCCGGTTGAAGACACCTGAAGCATTTTTGGGGTCCCAACTGATGATGTAAGTTGTCTCGAGGTGGTAAGGCTTTATCCTATAATTTTTGTTCTTCGCTCACTGCAGTTGTTCTCTGGTCCAATTGAGGGGTTTAATGGTTGTGGGCATTGGTATTAGGCTTTCTTCTAGTTTCAACTAAAGCATTAAGGATGGGCTTCTTGCTGAATTTGGTGTTCTGCTTTGTAGGCATAATTGACAGCTTGTGATAAAGACCACATGACATTCATCTTCATATTGTCTTGGATGCTTTCTTTTAAACCTTTTATATACCATGCTACAATTTTCTTGTTGGAATCATTTCGTGCGCTCAAGCAGTTGCACTCCTCCGTATATGCACTAAACATGCGACTTCCCTGAATTTATTCACAGTCGACAGGAAGTAAATTGCACATACAAGATTTCTTCGCAGTCGGCAGACTATAAATGATTCCTTAACAGTTATTTCATTCGGGTCCAACTTTGAATAGGCTTTCATCCCTCCCTCCGACGGGACTGAACGAGTTGTTGCCACCATGTGCCAACTCTACAGACAACATAACGAATCTGTTTTTCTGTGGTTTATATCCATATACTCAAAGAATACTCCTACAACTTGTTCCCAGTCCAAATAATCTTCGTTCTGTAAGCGGCCGTCAAAATAAGGTAACTATCTTCACCTTGCAATCACTGTAAACTTGATCAGCAAATTTACGTTGTCTGCTGAGCAGTTCATCGAGCAGGGTCAACCACCTAATCTGTATCCAAGTCTCGGGTATGTCAGTGAGAATTTTTCTCCTCGTTCGATTCAAGATGCTCAGGACTTACCGGTGGCTCAATCGTTGAGGACGCCTTTGCTTATGATTCACCGTGGTGGCGTCACCCTTCATTAGTGTGGGTGCCAAGACGGCTAATGTGGTTGCTGGGTTTGTAAAAGCACCAGTTCTTAGTTGTTGAAGCTTTTGCCGAACCTCAATCATGAAGTATTGCAACTTAATTGATAGACCATCTACTTTTTGTTCCAATATAATTCCTACCTATGATCGTCGTTGTTCGCCAAGGATTTGCTATTGTCCGCTATTGAGGCTCTGATACCAAATGTAACTAGGATAGTAGCAAGACCTGCATGGAGAAAAGCACTGAAGAGAGGAAAAACCGAGGGTTCTATTACCAAAAACAAAGTAGCAGAATGATCCTCTTTGCTACTACCTCTAGCATATATAAAAGGCTGCAATACTAATTAATAACGAGGAACCACTCTCCTCATTAACTAATCTAATAAAACTTATTAAACAGTAAACAGATACAACAACAACAACAACTACAAAGCCTTAATCCCACTACGTGGGGTTCACTACATGAATCCTTTTTCTCCATTCGTTCTATTTAGTGTCATATTTTCATTTAGTTCTAGTAAATTAAGATTACTTTTTATACAATAAGCCCAAGTCTTCCTAGGTCTACCTCTGTCTTTTTTAACACAAGTCGAATCTAAAACATCTACTCTCCTACTTGGATCATCAGATTGTCGACGTTTAATGTGCCAAAACCATCTAAGACGACTTTCTCTAATTTTGTCCGTCAGAGGAGCTACACCAACCCTATCACGGATATATTCATTTCGTATTTTGTCTCTAAGTGTAAAACCACTCATCCACCTAATCATTCTCATCTAGGCAACACTTAACTTATTATTATGTTTCTCTTTTAAAGGCCAACATTCAGCACAATAGAGCATTGCAGGTTTCACCACTGTCTTATAAAATTTTCCTTTCAGTCTAAGTGTTACTTTTCTATCACACAAAAGGCCCGAAGCATTCCTCCACTTCAACCAACCAACTTGAATTCTACTATTAACATCCTCATCTATATCACCATCGCTTTGAACAACGGACCCAAGATGTCTAAATCGTTGACACCTTTTAATAATTTGATCACCCAAAATCACACTTCTGTCACTAGAGCTACTACTACTAAAAGTACATTCCATGTATTCAATTTTTGTTCTACTTAAATGCATGTCTTTAGACTCCAATGTAGACCTCCATAATTCAAGTTTTTCCTGGGCTTTTTCTCTCGTTTTATCCAGGAGAAGAATATCATCAGCAAAAAGCATACACCAAGGTACATCCTCCTGTAGATGTCCAGTAAGACCATCCATAACTAAAGCAAAAAGATATGGGCTTAAAGCCGATCCCTAATGTAATCCATTTGTCAATCCTCCTTCAGTTTGAACACAAGTAACAGCTCTAGTATACATATCTTTAATGACTTGAATATAAGTCATATCAACACCTTTCTTCTCAAGAACTGTCCAAAGGATATCTCTTGAAACCTTATCTTAAGCTTTTTCTAAATCAATAAAAATCAAATGTAGATTCTTCTTATTATCTTTGAACTTCTCCATCAAACCTCTCAATAAATGTATAGCTTCAATAGTAAACCTGCCCGACATAAATCCAAATTGATTATGAGAAATCTTTGTAATGTCTGAACCTATGTTCAATTACCCTCTCCCATAATTTTAAAGTATGACACATCAACTTAATTCCTCTATAATTTGCACACTCTTGTGCATCCTCTTTATTCTTAAAAATGAGGACCAAAATACTCTTCCTCCACTCCTCAGGCATCTTTTTAGTGTTTAAAATAATATTAAAGAGTTTAGTAAGCCAAGAAACTCCCAAATCTCCTAAATACTTCCACATTTCAATTGGGATAGCATCAGGTTCTACAGACTTTTCACCATTTGTTTTCTTTAAAGCCTCCTCAACTTACTTTTTATTAATGCGACGGTAAAAATAAAATGTTTTATTATTATTCACGATATTAAGATCACTAAGGTCAATCGTATTTTCAGAAACTTCATTAAAAATTTTATCAAAATAACTCACCCACCAATGTTGAATATCTTTTTCTAAGAAAAGTACTTTTTGATTTTCATCTTTAATACAGTTTACTTGAGTCAAATCTTTATCTTTCTTTTATCTTTGTTTGGCTAGTTTATACATATATTTTTCTCTTTTTTAGTATATAATCTATTATAAAGATCATTAAAAACAGAATTAAACAATAAACAAATATTAGAGAAAAAGAAATAGTTACTTGGAAGCTAAGCTGATACAGGAATTAAACAGGGGAGGCCCCCGTCTGTCTGCAACTCTTCCCACTCTGCATTAAAAGTGTCTCAAGTTTTGTAGCCATCCATTTGTCACAATTAATAATTTCTAGACTAAGAAAAATTATTAGGTGCTCAGGACATTGTACATTGTACATTGCTGTGTACAAAATCTTATGGTCATGACAAAAAAAAAGCGCATCTCCAAAGCAGAGCTTTAATACCTCGCTTTGTGAAATCTAAATCCTATTCTACGAACTGTGGCCTCGTTCTACAGCGATTTGTTACCGTGCCGTCTTATTCTACCGTCATGTTTTGCTTTCATAATGGTTTGAATCCAGTAAAAGTTTATTCCATCTTAAGGTCCATATGAGAAATAATTTGCGTGTTAAAAAAGCTGGATACTGCTCAGAATTAAAGATTTGTAAAATATGCATTTAACGCCCTCAAAATTTTAAAAGAAATGTTAATTGTAATGAATATTCATTGAATTACTGCGTATTTGCTTAGTTACTAACATTGATTAGGTTAATCGCTGATGAATTTAAAATTAGATGTCACGTAAAAAATTCCATGTAGTAAATCTTCTGTCAGATTTTTAGTTCATATTCTTGTTTGAACAGGCAACAGGTAATCTCAAAGAGATTGCTTGGATGAAGATGGAGGGCCTGGGTATTCATAGATATTTCACTGTTCCAAATTTTGGAGGGTAAGCTGAAAGATTTGGATACTTCTATCAAAATTCATTTTTTTTTCTCCATTCTTTTGTATATTTATTTTTCTCCTTCCATTCTTAATTGGCTGAATCCTAAACAGATTCGGAACCGATCATACTGAACGTGTAGAATTAATCAAAATTGCTGCAAATAGAGCAAACGAGCTCTATCCTGAAGGTTTTGATTTGCGAGTGCATGTCGGAGATACTGTAAGTAATCACCTCCATCATTCAAAAAAGCTTAGGGGCATTTAGATACATACCACACAATTCTTGTGTGTTTACATATCTAACACCTAAAGATTCATATTCACATGCATACCAATCAAAAAAAATTTAACATCACATAAAATATACCACAATCATCATCTTTTTAATGTGAAAAATATTTTTTCATGCATAGGTTTATGACACCAAAGTGTATATATCAAACTTTAAGTGTTTGATATGTAAATAGATAAAATTGTGTGGTATGTATGTAAATTTTCCACAAGTTTAAAGTTTTTGGTTCAAATCTTTTGAATGCTTTTCAGCCAAATGATATTCGAGCTGCTGAGGACGGAGGTGCTTTGGCCATCGGAGTATGCACCGGCATATTCAATGCAGAAGAACTACAGAGAGCAAGCAATGGAACTGCTGTTATTCTTCCTGATCTCAGTGATGCTGAAGCTTTTCTGAAGCTACTGGGAATTTAAGCTTCAATCTGCTGCTTCATGGTCCAAATATGTGCAGAGTTCGTTCTGCTCGTTCTTCCTCCTGGCAGTATGTTGACTATTGAAATCTGCTGCAAACTTGGATCAGGTAGTGCGTGCATTTCACGTGAACTAAGGTATGTATTTTATATTAAGGTTAGTCTAAGATATTTCATTTGGAACCACATTATTGGCAATGTCAAACATAATATTTATTGAAGTTCTACAACTTCTGTCTCTTTTATTTTATAGAATTCTTTTAACTCTTTCCATTTTTCTTTTTTTTTGTCTAATTTTGCAGTATGGTTTTTTTTGCTAATGGCATATATAAATTGTAGAATTTTTCATTTTTATGCAAGCTTGATTTGGTCACATCAAGTTTAATTATGTAGAATTTAACATTTTTAGAAGATCTCTCGTGTCTGTTCCTCTTTAAGAATCTTTAAATGACCTCAAATTATATCTCTGATATCCACTGCATTCACAAAACAATCTCTAACTTTTTGCATCAATTTTGTAAATCTCATATATATATATATATATTGTTGATCCCAGATTTGTCTGTGAATCACTCCCAAGGAATGAAGCATGAGAAAAAAAGAAAAAAACTTACAGAGAGAGGAGATATTTTTGTATGTGATATCAACAACTTATATTACATTTAATGTTTCTCTATTTATAGAATGCTAGGCTTAGTGTGAAATAACAATCACACATCTGATCCTTTTTAATCGGTCGACGCTCAATAAAATCGGTTTCATGTCGTGTTATTGATGAATATCTGGTTGGTTGCTTCTTGTTGGTCGGCCTCTGCTTGTGTTGTTTTTGAGTCGATCAATCTCTGGTTTGACCGGTCACTGTCTTTGGATGGCTGTCTACTGTCGCTCAACCGTCCTCCAAATATTTTTGTTTAATTCTTGTAGAGCTCTGTCAGGTTACACTCGCTCTGTTTGGAGCCCTTTGATCCGTGGAAAATCCAGTCAAAAGTATTTTTATTATAGCAAAAGTATTTTTATCCATCCATGTGAGAGGGAGTAAGAAGGGAAGGAAGAGAGAGAGGGAGGGAGGGAGGGAGAGGAACATTTCCTTTTTTTTGGAGTGATTATTTTTCACTCATCTTTTGCATCTATTATTTTATGCAATATTTAATCTGAAGATAACATCTGATTATTATATACAATAATAATTAAATATAGATCTATTTTCATCAACTTTCTTACTAACTTAACCACTTATTAAACATGCAAAGAAGAGTGGATGGCATCTAAGAGCTTTTCTAGAAGTTTAACTTTATCATCTTTATTGATGCTTCTCAAATGCCTTTTTGTTCACTATTTTTAAATATGTATAAATTGTATATACCAAACTTATTTTAACATAAGTATAGAAATTGGAATAAATAATTAAGGTTGAATTTGTTTCTCTTTGTAAGAATTTCAAATTTTTAGAGGAGTTTTATTTTCTTGATGTACTGTGAAGAAAACTATGGCAAACCTAAAATGCTTTTAAATTTAAGGTCATTTACATACATACAACCAATTTTTATATATTTATGCATCCAACACCTAGATTTTTACATTTGATACGTGCTAGAAATTTGCAGTGATCGAGCAATGAATTATCGTTTTAGCGTTGCAAAAGAATCAAACACACATTAGGTAATAAAAGTAACGAGTAGAAATATCAAAAAATTTTACTTGAAAAACCCAGAAAGAGAAAAAAATCACGGGTCCAGTTGAAATAATTGACAATGAGTTGTTGATTACACGTGCAAGCCCTTGTCCCAAAAGCTAGAAAGGATTACACAGTTTCTCAAGTGATTGTGTACAAAAAACTCATTGCCTCACGGTATGGAGTGGTCACAATACAGAGTAGTTGTTCGAGCTTTAGTACACCGTCTTTGAGGTTGGCATGATGTTCGGGATGATGCAGTGCTCTGTAGGATGCTTAGTAAATCTGCAACGTCGGTTACTTTGAATGGTGCTTCCTTGCCCTGCAGTGTGAATCTTGACTTTGTTCGGATTTGCCGCAACAAGTAAAGGGCGGTTTACATTGGCCGGAAAGTGGTGGTTGGTGCTTGGCGGCTGTAGGAGCAGAATGTATTCACCAAATATTTAGTGTGAAGCGATGTTGGACTTTAACTCTTTCTCCAAGCTTCGACCTTCTTCTGGCTCAAGGTTTTGGCTCCCTCTCAAGTGGGGGGTAGAGCTCTATTTACGGACCACTCCATCAGATGACCCGGAGTGATTTTCTTGATCAGACGATATTCAATGAATATTTGAGTGCCTTAATGATAACAAAATCGAGTGAGCTTGGGCTTGTTAGATTCGTCTTGTCAAGATATTCTATTTGACCATAAGCTTGTTAGATTTGGAATCAATTTAACATTTCAATTGGGCACCGGAAGCTACAAAAAATGGTTTAACAGTTTGATTTTGGCTTGGTTTAACTCTGATTGACTTATGCTTGGTTTAACTCTGATTGGGTCAATATTAGTGTCATTACGTTCATCATGTTAAGTCGGTCAATTTTACTATAAATTTACTGAAATTAGAGTTTTAGATGAATTTTAATTGAAGTTTGAACTTTCTTTGCTCAAAATTACCTTGTGATTTGTGCAACACCTCGAGATTTGTGTTAGATGATGAAAATTTGTTGATGACGTATCAGTTTGTACTGAAGCTCTAGCAAATACTCCCTGCTACACCCGCTCCATACCGTGAGGTAACGAGCTCTTTTGTGTGAACCATTGTAACTTGAGAAATAGTGTAACCATTTTTTGTATGTGTGATAAGAGCTTGTACGTGTAATCACGAACTCATAGTGGATCATTTCAACAGAGTCTGACCTTATGTTTTTCTTCTTTTTGTGGTTTCCATATAAAAATTTCTGGTGTTTTCACTCATGACTTTTATTACATGAGTATGTATTGGGCAATTGTGCAACGCTAATATGATAATTCATTTCTCAACTGTTGTGAATCTTTTAGCACTCATCAGTTTGGTCTTTGTGGGAAATGAAGTCTCATTCGACACAATCTTCAAGTTTGTGACATCAAGCCTCAACTTCGTTTCTCAATGATATTACATCACCTAACTGGTGAAAGAACATTCTTTGCATCTCTGAAGTATTCTTCATTATAGGGGCAACCTTCACTGTAGTTTCGAAAGGTCGTTCACGTCAACATTCCAGACATTATTGTAGTGCGGCAATTTTTTCTGCATCTTGTTCAACATCAAGTCTATGAAAATTACTTTCAAGCTGGGGGCAACCTTCACTGCAGTCTCGAAAGGTCGTTTACGCTAATGTCCGGGGCAGACCGTGGTAGGGTGGTCATCATATGTCTCATTTAGACATCAAGTCTTCGAGAACTGCTTCCAAACTGGGGACAACCTTCATCGCAAAGAGTGTTTCTTCGGCGCCTCCTCATCATACTGGAGTTCTTTTTCAACTGGATCAGGAAATTGATTTTCTTAAGGTTCAATACATGGTCTGCTTTACATGCTCATGTGGAAAATGCCCACATTAGGGGACAACAAATTTAAAAGCATCAACTAATAACTTGTCATACATTATTATTGAGTATGGATGCAATCATATTACCAAAAAAAAAACATATGGTTTATCCCGACATAAGTTTCAGCCGCGAAAAATATAGAGCATCTCTGACATCTCATTTCAAGCTCCAGCAGTCCCAGATGACTTGATTCTACATCTTCCATCACAGGCAAAAGTCGTGAAGCAGAAGCTTCGATTAATAGCCTTAGATTAGTCAAGATCATTGGTGGATTTCTCTTCGACCTTTTCATAACAAGTTACGGTTGTCAAGCAGAAACTTCAACTAACATCCTCTGATAGGTAAAAAATTCTGAGTGGATTTCATACGATTTTGTCTGCAACAGGTTAACGCCGTCGAACATCTCTGGCTACACAACCTTAGATGAGTCTTACATCCTTCATGGATTACAATCGACTAATTTCATTACATGCTATGGTTGTCGAGTTGACACATTCTATCTAAACAACTTAAGAAAGGTCGAACATTATTGCGAGCAGACACAGTCCCCACCCGTAGCCTAGGAATATGAGCTCATGACGCAAGTCTTGATGGGAAGACACCATATCCCAAGAAGTTGAGCTAGGAGGCAAGACTCGATAGGAAGTTACGGTACTCTTAGAAGACGAGCCCATGAAGCAAGTTTCGATGGGAAGCTACTATGTTCTTAGAAGACAAGCTCATAAGGCAAGTCTCGATGGGAAGCAAGTAGCTAATAGAGTCCTCACTGGAAGGACTTCATGAGTGCAAGTTGTTGACATGATTTCCACTCAAAAACCTCAGAATGCTACGAACCTCAGAAAATATTGGTACATTATAAACCTCAGAAAGCACAAACCTTATGAGACACAAACCTCAGAAGGCACGAGCCTTAAAAGATACATGATTTTTCTTTTTTCAAAGTGCATGAGTTAGCTTTGATTGCAGAATTCGACGTGTTCGAAGCTAAAAAATATCGAAGTGCAGGAAGCGTCAGAAGAGTTTGATGTTATTAAGCTCTTGTTGGGGGTAACTCTCAAATTGGATTACGTTCAATTCGAGAATTTTAACATTTTTAATCTTACACCAAATAGGCTCAAAGATATACGAACAAATGCAATACCACAATATCGAGTGAAAGAAAGTCGTACAAACAAAAACACTGACGCCTTGTATAAATGTCATATCAGGCGACTGAAAGATTGCAAAGACTAACACATACTGATAGAAAACCTGCAACATGATAGCAAAAATAAAGATATCAATCCGCTAAATCATCCTTCTTATCATCAGGAGGTTCGCAGCTCATGTTCTCTTCTTCAAAACCAACATTTTTTATCGAAAAGAAGCCTACAAAGTTATCGCATTATGATTGAGGAGTTAACCTTTTTGTGCTCACCAAGGCTATGATTGATTTTTGCAAGCTCTATTTTCCATTCCCTTGAAGAAAGAGTTGGCTCATCTTCAAATGGTGTCGGCATCACTCCTCAAAATTCTAGTATTTGTGATGATGTTCAGAGGGATGGGATTCTCGAGATATCGACATCTCATCAACATCAAAAATATACTATGGAAAACATGACAATAGTGCGGAAAATCTCTTCTAATAAGTGCGGTAGCAATGCAAAAATCTCCTCCGTAAAGTACAACAACAATGAAAAAATCTTTAATGGATATCATTGCAGCTGTACGGAAAATCTCCCCCAGAAAGTGCGACAACTTGAGAAATTTCCTTCGAGAAGTGCAACAACAATGCGATTGAAAAAAAAAATAGACTAGGAGACTCCATCTTTTTCTCTTAGGGCTCGGGTTTCGACACCTCCGACTATCTTTGGCAACTGCCAGCAGTCACTACCTTCGACTGTTGGCACTCCAATCACCTACTGCCACCACTGTCAGGATTCGCCTCCAGCCACTGCCTACTCATGTCAGGGCTGTCGACCTTCAAACGCCACCGCTCTAGCCAACGGCTGCACCTCCGTCAGACTCAAGCTTCTACCTCTGTTGCCATTAGCAACCTCCTGCCATCAATCTCCTCGACTCCGACCACCGTTGCCGCTGGCCTTGCAACCTCAGCCTTCGGCCACTGTCTGGTTCCACATCCAGTGGAAAAAATAATTCAATTTTTTGAAGTATAAGGGATTCAAACCCATGACATCACAACCAAAATCGATCAGCTGCCAACTTTACTACATAAATTTTCTTATAAAATAACACTACAATTTATATATATAGATAAATAATGCATATGTAATTCTGGATTTTGGTAATTTTAGAAAATAGAGTTAACCTCGCCTGAAAATAGCGGTAAACTAATACAACATGAATAAATTTTCATCGAGGCAATTTTTTTAGTAAAGAAAGTGTAAAGTTTAATTAAAAATAATTCAAAACTTTGATTTCAATAAAGTTATAGCAAAATTGACCGGCTCGACGAGACGAACATAATAACATTAATGTTGACCCAATCAGAGTCAAATGAAGCATAAATCGAGCTATTAAACCATTTTTGGAAGCTTCTAGTGCCAAATTGAAATGTCAATTAAATTTCAAATATGACAAGCTTATGATCAAATTGAACATCTCGACAAGATAAATCCAACGAATCTAAGATTGTTCAATTCTAACATCATTAAGACACTCAAATATTCATGGAACGTCGTCCAATCAACGGATTATCTTTGGGTCGTCCGATGGAACCAACATCAACTACTGTCAGCCGCCCATTACTCGTCACAATGAAGCTCCATACAGAGTCAATATTTGCGTTGCAGAGTGACGAAACACCATTCAAAGTAACAACCGACGTCGCGGGGTTACGAAACATCTCATGGAGCAGTGCATCATACTGAATGTCATGCTAATCTCGAAGACGACGTATCGAAGTTCTAGCAACTACTCCTCGTTGCGACCATTCCATACCATGGGGCAATGAGCTCTTTCTGTGTATGATCGATGCAAATCAAGAAACTGTGTGGCCATTTCTCGTCTGTACGTGTAATCACCAACTCGTAGCGGATCATTTCAACTAGACTAAGCCTTGTGATTTTTTTTTCATTTTTGGGTTTTTGATGTACAAATTTCAGATGTTTCGATCCGTCACTTTTATTACCTGAGTGTCTGTTAGATTCTCATGCAACGCTATGACGATAATTTATTACTCTACCGTCGATAATCTTCTAGCACGCATCAACATTTATACCACATAAATATTTCATATCAAATCAAAGTACCACTATTTAACTTTCCAAATCTAAAATACATCGTTTTAATGTACATGTAAGGTGGCATAGATTTAAAAATTAAAATTTATGTATTGCATATGTAAATTAATAAGAATTGAGTGATACGCATGTAATTCTTTCTTAAAATTTTGCATTGAAAGATGTACAACAACAACAAAGCCTTAATCCCACTACGTGGGGATTGAAAGATGCACATGAGCTTAAAATGTATAAACTGCAGCATTATTTTTTAATAACTTATATTTTCCTATTCGAACACAAGTAACAGCTCTAGTATCGACCAAATGAAATAGGCAAATATTTGGTCAATCCTCCTTCTATTCGAACACAAGTAACAGCTCTAGTATACATATCCTTAATTACTTGAATAGAAATCATATCAACACCTATCTTCTCTATTACTCTCCAAAGGATATCTCTTAGAAGTAAGCTTTTCCTAAATCAATAAAAATAATATGTAAATCCTCCTTATTCTCTCTGCACTTCTCCCTCAAACCTCTCAATAAATGTATAGCCTCCATAGTAGACTTGCCCATCATAAATCTAATATGATTATAAGAAATCTTTGTAATAAGTCTTAATCTATGTTCAATTACCCTCTCCTGTAATTTTAAAGTACGACGCAACAACTTAATTCTCCATAATTTGCAACTTCTTGTGCATCCCCTTTATTCTTAAAAGTAGGGACCAAAATACTCTTCCTTCGCTCTTCAGATATTTTTTTAGTTTTAAAAATAATATTAAAAAGTTTAGTAAGCCAAGAAACTCTTAAATCCTCTATATATTTCCACACTTTATTTGAGATATAATTAGGTCCTGCAGACTTTTCATCCTTGGTTTTCTTTAAAGCTTCATCAACTTTTTTTTTACTAATGCTACGGTAAAAATAAAATATTTTACTACTTTACGATATTAGGATCACTAAGGTCGATCATATTTTTAGAAACTTCATTTAAAAGCTTATCAAAATAACGCATCTATCTATGTTGAATATCTTTTTTTAAGAAAAATATTTTTTTTATTTTGATCTTTAATACACTGGAGTTAAATCTTCACTCTTCTTCTCTTTTTGTTTGGCTAATTTATACATATATTTTTCACTTTCTTTTAGTATATAATCTATTATAAAGATCACTACAAGTATGAATTTTAGCATCACAGATTGTTATCTTAGACTCTCTACGGGTCATTTATATTTTTCCTAATTCTTTAAGCTTTTACTTTTAAATAAATTTTTACAGCATAACTTCTTATATTTTATCTTTTCTTGAACATTATTATTTCACCGTTAATTATTTTTATTTATAATTTTTTTTCCTTTTGACTCTCCAAATACATCATTTGTCACTTGTTTAATAGTGTTTGTTACTTTATCTCACATAAAATTTATTTCTTCATGAACATCACAAATATTAAAATATCAAATTTTACTCATAAAAATAATTTTTGTGTCTTTTAGGTGCCCCTGTCTAATTCTATGATAATGATTTTTTGTATTCTTTATTGTACAGCTCTTCATCTTAAAATTCAGAACTAATAATCGATATTGAATACTTAAATTCTCATTTAAAATGATCTTACAATCTTTACATTCTTGACTATCTTTACTTCTCATAAGAAAATAATTAATTTGTGTTTTATTAGATCCATTTTTATAAGTAATAATATGCTGATCTTTTTTCTTGAATAAAGTATTAGTAATAATTTGTGTTTGTTTTATTTTTTCTTGCACAATATATTTTATTTTGAAAAATAAAAAAATAAAAACACATGAAAAATACATCATGTAAATATTTTTTTTTAATAAAAATAAAACAAGAACAAAATTAGTTTAAGATAGGCCCTAAATGTATGAAAGAAAATTATATCTCATTGTATGCATTATAGGAGGAAGATAATTTTGTTTCTTAAAATTTTAATTATGATCAGTGAAGATCACGTCTAGTTAGCAGAATAATCGTTGGATGTATGATATAACTAAGTCATATTATCATTTATGAACTGGAAAGTGCAAGTCAAAGAGCTTGATTAAGCTCGTTTTACCTAACACCTGTGCTAATATTCAAATTGCTAAAATTTTGATCAGTTGACATTCAATTATTTTGTGATTTGCTTAGCAATTATATGTTATTTAATACTTCCGCTGGGTATAAAAAAAAGGCATGTTGTTTAGGACTTCGAAATATGTAGCCAAATAATTAAAAAATAAAAAACTACTAAAATATGAGAATAAAATCACTTCAAACAACTAAATGAGGAAAATAGTGATATTCGAAACTTTTTACATTCAAATCATTTCAAAATGACCAAATTGGTATGCATAAACTCCAGGAATTTTTTTTTATATACAATACAAATTAAAATGAGTTATGACAAGGTTATTTAATGATCATTATTCAATATCAATATCAACTCCTCATATTCATGCATGATATATTTTTAACAAATCTAAAAATCTAAATTTATTATTTAAATTCTCCCTTATAATTCTATTTAAATTTTGTAATTCAAAGATAATGATATAACATTGATAGAATTGATATATAAAAAGGGAGTTGAGTATCTCATTATAACACACATCTTTATAATTATAAAATTTCATTTGCATGAATCTTCTCTTCTAATCTAAACATAAACAAAGGAAAGGAACTCCTCATCATTCTCCAATCTCTCCATCTCCTCTCTCTCCATCCACAACCACACCTCCATCCCTTCCCCATCCTTCCCATCAATCAATATACACACATCTTTCATGTCCCAAATCCCACACCCAATCCACTCTGGTTCTCCCCACCCAAAATCAGTCTTATAAAAACCCAACCTACACCAACTACTAAATATCCAAAACCTCTCCTTCCTTCTTCCCTTCTCATCCTCCTTTGATCCCTTACCTTCAATCTTACCTGCAAACCTTCTTTCAGCCTCGTTCCTTACTCTTTCCTCCTTCACTCCCCTCACAATTTCCCTCAGCACCTTCTCCACCTCCTCCTGTTCTTTTTCTCCCTCAATGTAGCTTACTGAACCACTCCATAGATTTCCAATGGAGAGATCTGATAAACCTGCAAATCTTTTGCGCAAGTTCACAACTTGTGAGATCGACACTTTTCCCACTTCTTCTCTTTCAGCTGCGCGCATTACAGACCTTAACACGAGAGCTGAGACAGCCTCAACTCTAGTTGATCGCCTCTGATTGCTGCGTTTATAAGCATTCTCTCTCAGCCTCTTTATGGAAGAAGAAGATAAAAAAAACCTTTTTATGACTACTTCTGAGTTCTCCAATGGCTCCTTCGGTTCCTGGTAGTTGACCTTTAGAGACTTGGGTGGGAAGAGAGTTGAAGCTGAGGTAAAGCATGGCATGGCAAATCTGTCTTCCTTAATCTCAAGTGCTGTCTCCGCCCAGCGGTTTAGGAATAAGGCCATGGAAGCGCCATCAGCAATCACATGCGAAATGGAAACTCCAAGCACATAACCGCTTAAGAACTTAGTGAACTGCAGCGAGAGAATAGGTTCACCGTGTCTGAACATACTGGTTTTAACCGGAAGGAGTTCTTTGAACTGGTTGATGGGAGGGGAGAGAAGGAAGACGGTGAGATCAGTTTCAGAACATGCTTCTATGAACACTGTGCCTTCATTGTTACAGTTAACTTGTAGAATGCCATCGGCTGCTATCTCAACCCTTCCTGCTAATGGGTAGAATTGATTCAGAACTTTTGACAGAGATGTCTTGAGCTTCCTTGGAAGTTCCTGCAGGGCTGTGGTGGAACTGATGGAGTAGAAGAGGAGTAAGTGAGTGTAGATTTCTGGAGCGATTTGGTCAAGTAAGGAGAGTTTGATGGAGGTGTGAGGAGTTGGGAGAGAGGGTTTGATGGATTCTTTTGAGATTATTTGGATGGCTAGCATGGTTGGGTTGATTTTGAGGATTATTTTCTGGTTAGTCCGTATTTAAGTCTCCTGCAATTTAGGAATTGGTCAAAAATGGTGGCTCTAGAAAGCTTTTTAAGAGGTTATGTTGGACTTTGGCGGCTCCATTTGTTGAAAGATCACGTGTTTTTTTGCCTGAGTGGGGAGCAGGAAATTTTTAGGAGGAATCATAATCTAACTATTTATATAGTTTTCTTAACTTTTTATTATAATTTAACAATTTATATTATTTATTAATTATTTATTATTGTTGTTGTTTATATAAATAAAGATCACGTGGTCAATTTTTTTCATCAAGGTCAATGATTAATCAGAAAGTATGATTGAACACTGCTGGTACAGTTTCTGACCTATTCTTTATTAGCTTACTTTGTTGTTGCTGCTGTTTGGAGTTCTCAGCGGCTGCTGTAATTTGCAGTGCTTGAGGCTGTCTCATTTTTTTCTTATTTGTTGTTTTTGTTGGGTTTTTTGCTTTTCTTTGTCTGCTGTTGTGTTGTTCCTCAGCTTTTTTAGTTGGATATGTCCTTGATCTTTTGAACTGACTGATCTAATAATTCTCTTGAACTTGGTAGTTCTGAACAGATTTTTCTTGATCTCTCATTATTTATTTATTTATTCATTATTATTATTTTTTTGAGATTTGATTCGCTATGATAAATTCAAACCATACATTAAAATTTAACCGAATTTTAAATATTTTAGATGTTTGACTTGAGATATTCACTATCTTTGGAGGGAATCTTAATGGTTCTGCGGGTAAGTTTTTGAGCATTTGTTTTTTTCATTTTTCATTTATTCTTTAAGCTTGTTTTGATTTCCTTTTATCTGTTTATTTTATTAGTTCTTCAATATTTATTGTCTTCTCTTGGAGCTGCTACAATTGGTTCAAAATTGCTAATTTCCCAAGGTGGAGATTAAAAGCTTATGAACATAAGTTAAGGTTAGTTGGGGATTTTTTTAACTATGTTGCATAGAATAGATGATCCAATTCCAAACACAACACCAAAGTTTTGTGTTTGAGTTGATTTGATTATTTGGATTAGGTTAAGACTGACTTGGATGCACCAAAATTAACTCAAAATTGACATGATTATTAATTGGATCAGATGGCTTTGAGTCAGGTTAACTTGGTTAAACATTTCATATTTAGATCAATTGAGTTATGTTGATTTTAAAAAAAAATTGGTTGCCCCATATAACAATAAGGTTAATTGGCTCAAGTTTGAGTTAAATATCATGAACAACATAATAAACAAGACAGATTTGAGTCGAGCATATTTGGGTCGTGTTAGTTTATATAAAACACAAATATTTAACATCAAAATAATATTATTATTAATATTATCTACTTTTAAGAAAAATATATATTTTCATGAATATATTTTGATATAATTATGACAAAATTGTTATAAATGGAAACATAAAAGTTTTAAGTTTTTTAAATACACAAAAAAATTATGTGATGTAAGTGTAAATTTTTCATATTTTATAGGAAAATTTACATAAATCATATATCTAACACCTAAACATTTATAATATGTTAGTGTCATAAATCTATACATCGGAAGGGATATTTCAATTTTAGAAATATAGTGATGGTGATATTTTTATACAATATGAAAGATTTGAGTGATGTGCACATAAATATGAATGTTTAGTTGTATTTTTTAGGTAGGTTGAGTGCTCCAACTCTTCTTGGAATTTCTTACTTTGTTTCAATCAAGTAGGTTATGCATGTGTAGGGGTTAGATATGTAAATATATGAGAATTATGTAGTATTGTACATTGAAAGTACGCTAGCGTTGATCTTGTGGAGATCTAACAATCCCAAGGAGGAGAGTACAACAAATGAAGGCCCATTGATAAGAGGCCCGTTTATTCGATCGAATGCAACCATTTGAGCTAAAGCCAATAAGGTCAAAGCCGATCAATTCCCAAAAAGATAACCGAATAATTTGAATCTGAGGCATCTGATTAGAAACGCGAGAAAGAGACATCCTAGTCAACGACCACAAGAAAGCCAATTGAAGACAGTAACCTATAGTCCAGTAGATCTAATTCGAGGAAAGATGTAGTTACATAATATCACCAATCATCCCATGGACGCCCCTGATGCTTCTTGTCAGGAATAAAAAATTAACAACACAACAAAGAATCTTTAATTAATATTTCATGAATAGAAAGTGTAAAAATTAATATAATCATAAGTTAGAAATAAACTAAAAAAATGTCCAAGAATTCGAAGTTCATAACCTTATGATTTATTAACAATGATAGAATAAACATTGATAGAATTAATATATATATACTCATTCTACAACCACAAAAGGGAGTTGAATATATCTTTATAACACATATGTATAATGATAATGCTCATTTGCATGACTCTCCTCTTCTAATCTAAGCATAAGCAAAGGGGAGGAACTTCTCATCATTCTCCTCTCTCTCCATCCACAACCACACCTCAATTCCTTCTCCATCCTTTCAATCAATCAATATACACTCATCCTTCAGGCCCCGAAACTCACATCCAATCCACTCTGGTTCTCCCCACCCAAAATCAGTCTTATAAAAACCCATCCTACACCAACTACTAAATATCCATAGCATCTCCTTCATTCTTCCCTTCCAATCCCCCTCTCCCTTCCCTTCATTCTTACCTGCAAACGTTCTCTCAGCCTCATTCCTCACTCCCTCCTCATTCACTCCCCTCCCACTTTCCCTCACCAGCTTCACCACCTCTTCTTGTCCTACTCCTCCCTCAATGAAGCTTACTCCACCAATCCATAGATTGCCAATGGAGAGATCTGATAAACCTGTAAATCTTTTGCCAAGTTCACAAGTTGTGAGAGTAGAACTTTTCCATTGTGTTTATAAGCACTCTCTTTCAGCCTCCTTATGGAAGAAGAAGATAAAACAAAGTTCTGAGTTATCCAACGGCTCCTTTGGTTCCTGGTAGGCGATTGTTAGAGGCTTGGGTGGGAAGAGAGTTGAAGCTGAAGTGAAACAAGGCATGGCTAGTCTATCTTCCTCAATCTCACGTGCTGTCTCCGCCCAGCAGTTTAGGAATAAGGCCATGGAAGCACCATTGGCAATCACATGCGAAATCAAAAATCCGAGCACATAGCCATTTAAGAAGTTAGTGAATTGTAGCAAAAGAATAGGTTCACTGTGTCTGAACATACTGGTTTTAACCGGAAGGAGTTCTTTGAACTGGTTGATGGGAGGGGAGAGAAGGAAGACGGTGAGATCAGTTTCAGAACATGCTTCTATGAACACTGTGCCTTCATTGTTACAGTTAACTTGTAGAATGCCATCGGCTGCTATCTCAACTAATGGGTAGAATCGATTCAGAACTTTTGAGAGAGAAGTCCTGAGCTTCCATGGAAGTTCATGTGGAGCATTGGTGGAAGTGGTGGAGTAGCGGAGGAGCAAGGCAGTGTACATTTCTGGAGCGATTTGGTCGAGTAAGGTTAGTTTAATGGAGGTGTGAGGAGTTGGGAGGTAGGATTTGATGGATTCTTCTGAGAGTATTTTAATTGTGTCCATGGTTGGATTGATTTTGAGGATTAGTTTATGTGAAGTCTGTAGTTATAGCTCCTACAATTCAGGAAT